TGATTAAAATTAATATAAAAATTACATAGTAAATAATTTAATTACTAAACTTTGAATCTTAATATCTTTATAACTACAGATTCAATTTTTATGAAATTTAAAACATATATTTATCAAATATAGGGCAATCTGCTTGTGTAGTTTGAAGCTTTAATTTTGTAAATTGATAGCAATAATATTTAAAATGTCTTTTTTAAAAAATTAATTTTATTTAGTTTTTTTTAGTAAAGTAATACTTCATTTATTATTAAATTAAAGTATAATAAAGTAATTAAAATAGTATAAAAAGTTAATTTAGACTATTCTTTATTTAATATAAAAAAATTATAAAGATTGGTTAAAATTTGAATGATTTTTATTAGAAGTAATTATTAATTTTATATTGGTGTATCAATCTTCTTGCAACGGCCCATATTATAATTTATAAAATCATGTTTAAAAACTCTTTATTTTTTAATTTATCATATAAATAGATCTCACTAAGAATTTACTATTATTTAAAAGAAGATATTATTATGACTAAAATAATATAATAATTATAGGATATTATTATATAACTATTATATAATTTTTTATAACTTATAAGTCAGGAAACTTTTAAAAAATAACTAGATCAATCATACATCTTCAATAATTAAAAAAGATAAAGATTAAAAACTATTATTTTCGGCTTCTCGTTTGGCATTCTCTTCCGTAACCTGTTTTATAAGTTTAACATTCTTTGCCTCAAGCTCAGTTTTTTCAGCTTCAAGCTCAGAAATTCGTTGTCTCAATGAATCAATCTCGGATTGCATGTTTTAGTAATAGATTTTATATCTTATTAATTATTTAAAATATATAACAAAGTAACAAAAATTTCGGCGATGGCCCGTTGTCAAAAAATTCCAATGAAAATTTCACAAATTATCTACGAAATCAAGATTCCGATTACTTAGTCGTTTTCATTGTGTATAGAATTACATGAATTAATGATTAGATATTTACGTTTTTTAATAAAAAATATTTGAATGATATGATATATTGTAAATAAGTTGATATCAATTTTTTACCTAAATAGCGTATTATCTAAATCGTCTAAATCGATTTTCTGAATCCAGATGACGCATCAAATCGCGATCCGACGAAGAGAAACTGGGAGATGGAGAACTGGGAGACGAGGAATCGGGAGATGGGGATTAGGAAAGGGTTGATTTTTGTTACTTTCTTTCTTCTGCGGAGTATCATTCACTGAAGTTATGCAAATATTATTATTATTTTCCATAAAATTCGTGGTTGCTTTATTTATTGCTCTCACTGTTGATAAGACATCTGTCTATAAAAAAAATTTATTATTTATTCAATAGAGCTATCAACACGTTTAATACTCTACCTGCCAATCTATCAAGCATATCATGTCTTTTGAAAACTGTTCGAAATCACCAAAGGTGACAGGATTTTGATGCGCCCAAATTGTTGTTGCATATATATTGTTGGCAGTGGTCGAACTAAATACCTAATTTCAACAAATCCACCTATAAAGAAACATATGTGATCCTTATCCAAAGGCTTTTTAACCCATTTATATATTTCGTCGTCTGATAAATCTATAATATTGTTGAAGTATATTGATGCCATAAAATCTTTCCCGGCTTCTTTGTCTTTTTTTTGACGTGCGGTAAGAATTTTGAGTAATTTGTTACGAATGTCCACCTCATTAAATATAATCATTATCAGTTATATAAAAGCAATAAAAGATTGCAAATAAATAAAATACCTGCGTAAGCTTCCTAATCTCTTCTTCACTCCGATCTATATCAATTGATCCAGTGTCACTTTCCGAATCATCAAGGACTTCCACAGATTCGGTTACACTTGAATGTGGCATGCCTCTCGTTAGTATCCTGGCGATTTCTCTTGAAAAATCTTTTCGCCTTGGAATCATCAACCTAGAAGTATCAAATGGAAAAATAAATAGTTCTTCTAAATAACTTAATAATCAAAACAACAAATCATCACCTCGTTTTAGAAGATCCGGTGAAATTTCCACAGGTTATATTTCCATTTATGCTCCCATTTATAGTTCCCAGAAACGTCGTTGGTAGTATTGAATCTGTTTTCCAGATCGTCCCTTCTCCCACGCCCTAACCAGATGATAATTGTTTAACAATGTTCTTAAATAATGTACCTTAATTCACCTCAATCCTGCCAAATCGGCTTACAGCCTTTGAACGGCAGACAACCTTGCAGGTCATCCGTGTCCTGACAGGACCATAAATATCAGGCAACCTAACTGGCCACCTGCGTGCCATAACGCGCAACCTTGCAGGCCATCGTTACGCTATCAAATTGTGGCTATTTTAATGATAAAGATTCTATACTCGCCTTCCGGTAATTATCAAGCTTTTTCGCGCTTACAATGTCCTTCGTGTTTGACAAGAAACTAGATCCTTAATGTAATAATTTATTTTCAGTTCGAACGGTTCTAAAGTACAGTAATCCAGGTAATCTATTATATTCCATTCGGATGTCTTTCTTTCAAAATATTTGTTTATAGGCTTTTCCAACATATGAAAAGAATTTAAATTAAAAAAATACGTACATTAATTATTGCATATAATAGCACACCCTTATAATATAGATGTAATGAAGATACTATGAAGGTGCGATGTAGCCAGGATAAACTTTTTAGCGCATTTTTTGGTAATATAATTTTATTATAGGATGGATAAAAGAATTAAAAATAGGATTGATGGTCTTTTTCACACTTTCCAAACCATCTTCTCATTTCACATTAGAAGAAGATATAAGATCATATCTTTCTTGTTTAATTTTTTCTTATTTTTTCCTATAGGATGCTTTTATAAAAAGAGATAACTTAGATTCAACCTTTCCTAATTTGATGACTTTTATTAGTACTAGTTTTCACTTCGAGAATTCAGGAGCTTTAATGAGATATATATAATAATTATTAAGATAATCTATTACTTTGGATAAATGTTTAACATATACTCTTATTAATTTAGAATCTGAGATTATCCTTTCAATGTTATATTAGATCTTATATAATATTTCTACTAGAATTTTATTAAATCTCTCTATAATTACTGTACCATAATGGGTGTGTGGATCAATAAATCAAATTACTGCATTGTGTTCTTTTATTAATTAACTTACTGAGTTTTTGAGCTCTGATCCACTATCATATTGTTATAATGCACAGTTGATCACAGATAAAGAGATGAATGGGCCAAAAAACACCTTCACGACCATTGGTCACGGATCTTATTTTCAGATGAAACATCATTTCAATTGTTCAGAAATACAATAGCTCAATGGTACAGACGTCATAAAAAATAACGCCCGATTTTTTTAAAAATGAAATGCCAGATATATACTCGATTTATTTTATTACTAGCTTATGTATATAAAATCGTTTTTAATACATTATTAGCCTTTCGTATAGCTATAATATCGTTTCGATTTCTCAAGGTATTGAGTCTATAACCTCCTGAATGACCAAATGATCGTGATTTCTTTAGAGCTTTCACACAAGTCTTTGGAAGTTTTTACACTTTTGAATAATATTTTCTAAAGACTTGCAGACATTAGGATCTTGAAAATATGCTAATCGTTGGTTTTCTCTACTTGAACCTATTAAGTGACTTCTTCCCAGTGCGTGCAGGTGATTATTTACTTAAACAACATATTATATTATGAAAAGGAATGAAATTTACTTTGAGAATCTTCAGCTTTTACAGATTGTTTATTGACAATGTATTTTATGATCTCTAGATAATTTTTTATTAATGAGCCATAGATCAATTTGTTCATGTATATATTTTACATGTTCATTTAATATTTCAGATCTACAGAACATTGCGTTGAAATGGTTTGATCTTGCTTTTATTACATTACCAATCCTAAATTTAGTTGTCTTATTTCACTTGTTGTTTTTTTTGCATTTCCATAGGCTAACAAATTTCATGTTCAAAATCTATAAGTTCTGATATTCTAGGAATAATTAAGAGAAATCGTAAAAACTTAAAATGCAAAACAAAACACGTATACAGCTGTGTTCTTTGTTGATAGGATAAAATTGTTGACGCGTTTAATTGTAATAGTTTAAAGCATTTACAGTATCTAAAAAAACCACAGTTTAGAGTTGAACAAGATCAATAAGGAAGTCAATAGAAATATTATGCAAACTGCTTACTTCTCATAATCATCACATTCATTTTTGTCAAATGATATTTGTAGATGTCAGTATAGGAATTAAAACTAGAAACATAAAGTCTAGATTCTCTCCAAAAACCAAATATTAAAGATCCGTATATATCCATAATCAATACATCACCATATATGACCGAATACATTATAAGCAACCAAAAATTAAGGATTTTGGTGGGTAAAGTGAGGCTGTGCATACGAATTTTGGTATCTTCATATACGGACCAATTATTTAATTTTCCCATGATATTGCCAATAAAATAATGCTTAGTCAGAAAAAATTGAACCCTTTTTAAATATATATTTATAACAGAAATGTAAACAATATTTATTATTATAATTATTTGTTTATTCTAAAAGAAAGTTAAAATAGTATTTATTTAATATGGTCAATATTATTAAATTTCTAAGTAGGTTTTCCAAGAAACTAGTTTTTGGTTTTTATCATGTTCACAAATGTAACATTCTTATAGAATTGCTGAAATGTAATCCCTTAAAACAACAATAAAGCGATACATATACTGATACGCTCTTTTCAAAAGATACTCAATCTCGAATTGATACGAGACATAATTAAGCTCACGAACGAGATGCTTAATTGTCGACGCTGTAAATTGTATAATTATTATTACAATTAATGATGGTCACAAAGTGGACCGTTGCGATGGCCGTTGCCATTTGGTGTTAGATATTGATTATGATAAGAGATTCTATAGAGCGTGAGACATTATTTGTAGTGAGAGTTATTGTTCCGTCTATTGTTAAATTCTAGAATGTAAGACGCAAGTCCAAAAATTATAATAACGTTTGTGTCATGTAATTACAGAAGGAGATATCGATGTCAGTTGTTTAATTATTGAGGTTGCAGTAGTCTCGATGTCAATTACATGTGTATGAATTAACAACCTAACGCTAAATGTGTCAATTTTGTGCGTTGTCGATCGCAGATGCTGATCTTGCCGTAATTTTTGGAATTAGCGAAATTATCAAAGTAACGATAACGAAATCGAGGATAAAATTAATTGAATTTAACGAAAGTAATTGCAATTTCTTTGCATTCTATAAATAAATGCTATATCATCCCTGTTTTTGTGAATTACAGCGATAAAAACACACGCAATAACCACAAACAATTAAAATACATGTAATACATATACCCCATTTTAAAAACTATGTACAAAGCTTTCTTTTAATAAAAAAAACTGCATACCGATACATGTACATTGTATGCTGTTTGCATACACCAAAATAATAAAAAATCACATATTATACATGCAATAAAAGTTGCACATAGAATTTGAATACCTACTTACTATATAACGACAACGATTATATCTCATTTGCTTTCTATCATTTCAACAAATTTACGCATTTTATCAAAGATGAAATCAAATCATTGTTATGAATGTGCATATTGTCAAGAGGATGAATCCTGCGATAGTGTTTAGTTCACAACCTCATGATTGTAGTAAATATACTGGTTGTGAACAAAATAAGCTCTGCGTTCACTGTTTCAAATATCATAAACGAATTTATAACGATGCGAAGATATCGACAATCTAATAAAGGAATGCAATAAAATTAAATATGAATTATTCGAATTGATTTCTTTTGAAAGATTTACTAACATTAAATATCTTGAAAAGGAGGTTTTGGGTCAATTTATAAAGCAACCCGGTTGAATGGGAACATGAAGAAAATAAATGGAAGTGAGAGGGAGAAATAGAAGTTATGTTGAAAACATTACACAATTCAAAGCGAATTACTCGAGAGTTTATACATGAGGTAAAAAATTGCCATTTTCGTAAATAAAAGTTTACTTTTTGTTTTTTTAATATTATCAAATTTTTAAAATAGTTTCAGGCTGCTCTTAAATGTACTAATGATATTGTTCTCAGTTTAAGATATTATGGAATAACTAAAAACTCAGTTACAAATGAATATTCAATAGTAATAGTGCTGAATTATTTAAAAATACTGATTCCCCGTAAATAAATGTACAGTAACATTTAGAATTCTATATAATTAAATCGAGAAAACCGTATCTTTTTCCGACATGTCCTTTTCTTGAATTGTGTGTACATGTATATGACAAATATTTTTCTGGTAAATTTTACGTTGTTTAATGGTTATCATGAGGCGTATCTTATCATGATATGATTTAGATAATTGATAGCCAGTTTTGGAAAATTTCGAAGTCAGACGCGCTTGATTTTTATTGTTATAATTATGCGCTTTATACATCGTGGGAATAAACTCAAGAACAGATAAAAACGATTAAATTAAACTTAATAAATATTTATAATATATAATGCGTATCATGATCATTTGATTTAGATGACTGATAGTGATGAAGAATCGTAGCTATAAAAGAATTGCGTTTCTTATTAGCTATCATCTTTATCTTATTTTCTCTTTATTCCAATTATCTTCCATCTTTGCACCATTCGAAGTAATTTTTCACTGACAACAAGTAATCTTAATAAAGAATAAATTGCAACACAAAAACATTAAACAGATTTCAAGTTAGTTGACCCAGATAATATATTTAGTTTTACGCGACAAATAACATACGAGTGTTCACTATTAAATTACAATTAATTTATAGATGAAAGATATCGTAAGTCATGATACATTCGGAAAGCATATATTAACAAAATTCTCATTTATTTTATTATTAGTAAAGATGGTCGACTATAGCACGATCGTTCGATATGATGAACCCTGTACAGATCTTTTGTTGTTAGATAAAGTAGAGTTATAGTATATAGTCAATAATTACGCGTCTTTCTGCTAAATTTCCACACAAATCTGAAAAATTAATTTAAAACACATAAAATGGACACTCAATATAAACCTATTGATCCAAACAATGCATCCTCAAAGACGCGTATCATACATCATTCAAACGCTCAGATTTATTATTGCTGCTTAAATGCTTTCAAAGTAAGAATCTTTAATATAGGTGTACCAAAGTTTTAATGCTTAAACGCGTTTAGTTATTAATTTATTCAAAATATAAATCAAAAGTCTTCCAAGAGAGACTACCTGAACTCGATCTAAACGCAAATAAGCCATCTAAACAGGCTAAAGCCTTTTTTGAGTAAGTATTAGTAATGAAGAAATATAATAATTTATTGATTTAACTTGTAATATTAGGCATTTAAAACGATACCTAAGCATGTACCACCCCGATGCTGGGTTTGAGCTAGGAGAAACATTGCGTTATATTAATTCTAAAAAAGCAGAGGCATGTATCCTCGCGACTAAACGTTGAACTAAAGGCGAGATGATATTGGAATGGAATTCTAGTCGAACTAACCAAGGAAGAGGAATCAAAGTTGTATGATGAAAAAGATTTTTCTATAATCGCTTCAGCACGTAAAAAAAGAAGTTCTTTTTATGTTGGACCTGGTCGCTTTGTCAATGTGAGATAGATCTATGTCTTTTTTTGATAATTATTAACTGTATACATGTATAATTCTAGCATGATTGTGATCCGAATACCGAAGTAAGTTATTATTTGTTATTTTTTGCTTGCTATTTTAGATTGTAAATTTTATTTTATAATAGGTTTATATACAAGGATCTCAGCATATTGTCTCTTTTCAAGCCCTAAGGTAATTGAAATAAACGAAGAAATTACCTGTTCCTATGGAACAGATTATTTTGGTGAAAGGTGTTTATTTGTCTGATTTAAGTTGCATAATTTTAAATTATTTATTAATGCGTTTTAATTCTATAGGCGAAAGATGGGCGCTTTGCGGATAAAAAAGGCAAAGGCAAAGATATCTGAAGTCAATGGTAATAGTAATCGAGATGATCCACAATTCCGGAAATTGGTGTGCGTATAAAGGTAATGATAATTAACTTTCTTAAATTTTGTGTTATAGATAATATCATAAAAACTTACCAAAATATTACTATCTTGTTCTTTTTCTTTTAGTACACTCTTCCCAAATGGCATCAGATCCTGCTAGCTCATCAAAGACCACAAATAGTAACACCCTCACTGAAAAGGCAAGCTCCAATTGTGCAGTCTCAAACATCAAACTCTTCTCTGAGACTCCAAACGTCGAAGTCACCGCCATCTATGTTAAAGCAAGCTCTTTTAACACAATCTCGGTCTGAAAAGCAAATACAAAGATGTAATAAGTCTGAAAAGACACAAATTTTGATGTTAATAATACACTGCCAGCAAATTTCATCATAATCGATCACTATACGGATTTCCCACCTTGCGAATGCAAATTCATCCAACTGGCTCTCAACATAATTTCAATCAAACTCAAAGGAAGAGTTTTCCTTGGTCAGTTCCCCAGACATTACATCCTGGACAAGCTGTGACCATTGGTTGCTCTTTTACTAAGAGTTTTTGGACGTCCACGACGCCTGCCGTAAAAACTGAAGGTGAGATAGCCGGCTCTAATCAGAATAGAAGAAAAAGGGTGGAGCCGGCTATAAAGGGGGAGGGTGATGTTTATGATTGAAGAGGAGAAGAGTGTAATGGCGGCCTCAGCAGTGAGCTCCATTTTGCTGGAAATGTGACTGTGCGGCAGGCAGGTCGTTTCTCAGGAAAAAGGAGCTCCGATTCATCAGTAACCGAATCAAACTGCTGGGGGACGTAAGAGAGTGTAGGTGTTTTGATAGTGTATTCATGTATATTGAACAATAAAAATTGGATTCTATATATCAATTATTCTTTGACTATACTGCTTTTTTGAATCCTTGTATCTTTGCTTGTGCGCGTATAAGATATTGTTTGAATTAGGATTAAAAACTACCAAAACTTTAACCGAAATAGTTTAGGCATCTACCTCTAAAGTAGGATGTCGTCAAGTTGATATTTTGTGTCTAACTGCTGTAGTAAAAAAGATGAATTTAACATTTGATTTTTATAATGATTGATAAATGTAACTGATTATTCTTACCATAACAATTAAGTTACTACTATAAAAACTATCCTTTTTCATGACAACATCAACCTTGTTCACTTCCATATCTCTGCAACGTCAATTAAACATGTAATAATTTAGGTAACCATCTCCGGGACCAAATTCAAGTTCATCAAGAAAATATTTGTTGTCCATTAAATCTAAGCAATTAAAGACACCAATTTTTTGCTACAAATATATTTTAAACGTAAATTTTAAAATGAATTTAGGATGCATCAGAAGAAATCAATACATACTAATTTTGCTAGTAACAATACATCTTTCATTAACTGTTGGAGTCTTTCTTTAACTGCGTGTTCTTTCATTTTTGGCATAGTAAAAAAGATATACAGCGTCAATTTATTTATGAACTGGATGACCAATCACCGTGTAAGTAAAGAATAGAATGAAAGAAATTCGTAATTTATTTCCCTGGAGTCTAAAATATCTTAATAAAAATCAAGAATCTAACTTGATGAGAATATTAGAATTACTTTACCTCGACAAAATAAGACCAAACAATACCTTCCTTTGGCAATATTCCATGTCTCACTTCCTCGTCGTTTTTGAAAATAGACATAAACGAGCTCGCACTTTTAGTACATCTTCATGTCTCAGCAGGTGCTTTATACTTTTTAATCATAGTGATAATGGCATATGCAATCGGGAAAAGCATGTATCAATTAGTTTTGGGATTGAGCGAAAGATGAAAATAGCTTCCTATTGAATTTGGTTTAGGAAAAACGCCTGCAATATACACTGCTTGAAAAATCCCTCCAGCTGAGATTGACGCGTGATTTCTTTTATAAGTGTATAGGTCCTTGAATTTTGCGGTGATGGTTGTAGGTGCTGATTTTATGGTAATAAATCTAAAGAAAAGAAAGAAATGAATCGAGGTGTCCAATGAGCATCGGAAAAATAAAAAAAAGAAAAGTATGCTCATATCATGAATCAAGAAGAACGTTAACAGCAAGGCTGTGGTCACGATGTGCTTTCAATTCTTAATTCGTGAATCCTTCCACGAATCCCATAATTCGTAGTGCAAGAACTGTATACTAGTTGAAAAACAAGGAGAAGGTTGTATTTTTTTTAAAAAAAAGAGAAGGGGATGCACTCCGAATTATGTTCAGTCTAAATGGCGCACAGGCCAAATATGAGTATAACCCAATTATGTCTACATAGTATATTCCACAACCGGGAAAAGACGTCGAGTTGACTGCGTGAAAGTAACGGCAATACGATTTTCCCATATACTCACAAGTTGCACGAAATGAATCGTGATCATCATTATTTTGTACCGTTCGATGACGGTAGAATCAATTGACTGGGAGGATATTTAATGGGCAGCGGTGAATTGAGAGCTATAGCATACTGTAATAATTACCGAGGATTAGTGGGATGAGAAGTTTGTTGTAAGGATAAAACAAAATAAATTAATAGAAGCATAAAAGTTAATCAAAACATTACAAGCAGCAGAGGAGAATACAAACAGTCTTCAATCCCTTCAATAGAGCGCAAGCAACCTATGCTCTCAATAAAACAAATTGTGGCAAACTCTAGATTGCAAGTAAAAAAATA